AATTCAAGTCAGCAACAAAAGGATCTCGCGGCAAAAATGCGAGGCAATAGTCCGAGGTGATCAACAGAAGTTAGTCACAATAAAGAAAAAAAAAAGAAAGGCAAGAAGTGAATCCAAATGCAGAAGTTGATGAAAGAACTGCTTAAGACATGGTGGAATTCACAAGGACTACATGTCCGGTCTTGATCCAAAAATCTGTAGAAGAACCAGCTAGCACCGGCAGCTAACAAGCGCCAAGGTTCAAATCTAAAGTCTGCATGAAGAACCATTCAAGACTCAAGATCAAGCTTCAAAAGACTTATAGATAGGAATTTTGTAACTCGTAGTTGATAGGCGTAGCTAGTATTTTTCATGTTTTGATTTTTGATGTAATAACAGGACTGCGGACCGGAACCTCAGCAGAACGACACCTCGACCGGATCTCCACCTCGGCATACTCCATCATATCACTCACTTCTAAACTACACGTGGCCTGATTCCTTTATAGCCAAGGATATGTAGGCAACTCAGATACCAGGGCTCGGTCACATTCCCCCTTTCTCTTAGCTTTAGTCTCTCCCAAATAAGGTTCGGGTCAAAAAACCTGTCTAGTCGTTCTTTGTCCGAAAATGCTTCGCGTTTCCAGTCAAAGAGGGGCAGCTGTAGACATGTGATTTTTGACCCTCCCCAAGATTTTTTATATTTTAGCATGTAAATATTTTAATTTAGGCCTAATGTAGCTATTTCAACTATTTTTAACTTCTTTACTTTATTTTCGTCATGAAAATGGAAAATTACGAAAAAATATATTTTGAACTTACGTATCTTTCATAAATTTAAATAAAAATATACAAAAATAATACTTATTTTTATCTTTTTATAATTTTGAAAATAAAAAAATATATAATAGTTTCATGTTAGCTATTGGCATGGGGTAGTATTTTTATCTTACTTTAAAATGAGTCAATTAAGGTGTTGGACCATAATTTTAAGAGTTTTAGAACCTAATTCTTGGCCCAATTCGGATTAGTCTATTAAGCCTAGGGACCCTTCTAGACTCTTCTTTGGAATAAAAAACAAATAAAGAAGACCCTAAGGACTTAACACAAAAGACCTAGGGACTAATCGGCAAAATACACAAAGATACACCTAAACCTAGATTCTACCTATAAATGAGTGCTTAAAATAAAAAAAAAAGGTGGGGAGATAAGGCTGAAGGGAAAAAAGCTGAAAAAAAGCTGCGCAGAAAGATAGACCCATCCCCCTCTGGTTCTTCTTCAGTGTTTCAACACAAGACACAGACCATAAAACGCCTAAGATCTCTCCCTGAAGAACGATCAACATCATTCAATATCCGAAACGACATCCCCTTTCGTTCGTCTTCTGCAATAGAGATGGAGCCTCTCCCCTTCTTCTCCTAGAGGCCCCTATTTCTTCACCTCCATTCGAGTTCCACAGAAGAAGCTCCAGCAGCAACTACCAAGAAACAGGCCCCCATAACCGTTACCCCATCTCCTTCACAAAATCGAAACAGAAATGGAGTTGCACCTAGGAGATCCAAGTTTGAGTTCGAGGTTTTTCCGGGTTCTGCGCTCGTTCGTGGTTTGATTCGTATTTAACATTGAATCTTCGAGCTGTTCTTTGCTATTGTTTCGAATTTTCTGGTCAAGCTTTGTCTGCTATCCATTTTTTGTACATTTGGACAGAAATTTAACAGGAGAAGTTTGTTCATTTGAGTTCTTTTGGTTCTTTTGTTGTTGGAGTAATAATATCAACAATCGATCTTGCTTGACATACACTCGAACAGGTTCATTGTGAAGAAGTAAATCGCAACAAGAATAGAGATAAAGTCTCTTTTGTTTGTCGATTGAGGTTGAGTCCATTTTTGGAGCTCGTTTGTTAAATCTGTCCGAAACTCTGTTCGTTTGTTGCTCGTTCCGAGGTTGGAGATTTCCGGCGAGGTTTTCCGTTTGAGGTTCTATTTGGTGAGTCGAGCTTAACTAAGGTCCGTTTTTTTATCGTTAAATTTGGATCTTCGTTTGTGGTTCATCTTGTACTGATTTATGTCAAGTTCGTTTGTTAAATCTTCGATTGTCACTCTGATTTTGAGCATGCTTATACTGTGCTATTGTCTCCACCATTAATACAAATAGTGTTGCTAGCAGATTTTCTTCTTGATATGTTTTCTTTGTGGCATCAAGTTTAGCATTTGTTCTTACTGTGATCAATTGATACTGGACTTCAAATGAATTTGGAAAGCATGATGGTTGATTGCCTTGCAGATTATATTGCTTCGATAATTGTCATGTACTCCGTGGTATTGAAATGGGGTCAATTGTTTAGGCACACTACAATATAGTGGTTGTTTAAATAATAGTAGGCTATTGAAACAAATTACCAAACCATGATTAGTTGCCTAACGTGAATTCCGTGAATAATTTAAGACTTTTGGAAAGTTTTGTTTTTTGGTCTTTTCCTTTTGTTTGTTTTGTTTTGTTGTCCTATATATATATGTTAGCAAATAATTTATGGCCCTCTAAAACTTTGTTTGATTCCCTTTTAGAATTGGAATTGAGGTGCCGTTCCAAAATAAAATCTTAAAATGCATGACCCTCGCTTTGTTAATATTCTAGTCCTTAGAATTCGAGGCGTGTCATTTAGCGAATTTTCCTTGGCCCTCGCAAAGTTAAAACACGTAGTTGCTTTAGGCTCGTCATTTTAATAAAATTACCTTCCTAAATTTGGGTGCGTATTTATGTGACCCAAATCCAAATTCCAACAATATTAAAATATGTCAAAGACCACGGGTGCATTTATGTGACCTGGTTCAAGACGTGTTTTAGTAACGTTGCAATCTTCTTAAAAATGATTAAAAGGGGTTAATTAGTTAAAATTGTATCATAAGTTAAACATGTACTAAAATCAGATAATAGGCCAATTATAACAATTGAGCGACCGTGCTAGAACCACGGAACTCGGGAATGCCTAATACCTTCTCCCGGGTTAACAGATTTCCTTACCCGGATTTCTGTATTCACGGACCGATAATAGATTCAATCTTTTCCTCGATTCGGGATTTGAACTGGTGACTTGGGACACCATAAATCATCCCAAGTGGCGACTCTGGAGTTTTAATAAAATAATCCCGTTTCGATTGTCACTTTAAGTTGGAAAAAACTCCCTTATATACTCCTTCCGGGAGTGTAGGAAAAAAGGAGGTGTGACACCTCTTTCTTATTTCAAGGTATGATACTAACAGAAAGAGGATTCACGCCAGCGTACACATCCCCAAAGATGAGAAGAGAAGGGTTTCGTAATAGTTTATATACAATTCAAATAATATCAAAGCGGTAAAAAGTGGAATTTAGCACATTAGGCTCAAATATGTAAAAATCAGATAATGAATAATGCCAAAATATAACAGTTATTATAAGCTCGAATTCTTAAACCCGGAACAAAAGTTCTGGGTTATGATCCCCAGCAGAGTCGTCAGAGCTGTCACACCTCCCTTTTTACCACCTGAGAGGGATATAAGGGAGTTTTTTCCCTTTAAGTGACATTATTTGAAATGAGATTATTTATTTATTAAGAGTCGCCACTTGGGATAGTTTATTTGGTGTTCCAAGTCGCCAGTTTATTTTAAAATCCCAAATCGAGGAAATTCTGACTTTCCTTTTGAAGTCTGCGAACCAGAAATTCTAAGTAAGGAATTCTGTTAACCCGGGAGAAGGTGTTAGGCATTCCCGGATTCCGTGGTTCTTGCACGGTCGCTTAAACTAATATAATTGGCCTATTATCTGATTTTAATACGTGTTTCAACCTATGATACATTTAAACTTATTAACCGCTCTTAATTATTATTGTTACATATTACAAATCATGTCATGGGAACCGTACCCACGATCTGCAATGTGTTTAGTTTTAAAGATTAAATTGTGGTTGAGACACATAAATGTACCCTCGAATTTTAGTAATTAGGGGTCACAACTACGTCACAAAAACCGTACCCGTGGCTATGACAATTAATTAATTTACACACCTAAAGCAAATTACGAAAGGTCAAGGCATTTCTAAACTAATTTTGTATTTATATGAGGTCCATAAATTAAAAGATTTTATTTGTATATAGCACACCCAAATATATTTGATCTAAATTTGTGAGGGCCAAGTGTTGTAGATTTAAAGCATGTCACACCTGAAGTTATTCTTAAAAAAAGGTTGTATATATTTTAAAGGCAAACTAGAGATATTTCTATTTTTAAACAAATTTAACCTAATTATCACAACCATGCCACGGGAACCGTACCCGTAGTTGTAATAATTTTAATTGCGCGCCTAGAAGCAAACTAGGGTGTTCATGAATTATTAATTTTTAAACTAGTTTGAGATTTGATTACAAAATGAAAGAAAACGTACTAAATTTCCAAGACGTTGATAACAGTAGAAACGAACCAGATCAATTAGAGAACAAAGCTTTAAAAATCGCATAGCCCAAAACTTAAACACTTATCAAACGGCCCATTAAGACAACTCAAAGAATACCATTGAGATATAGAAAATTTAACCAAAAGTTATGATAACAAAGAGAATAAATAACTACAGGTGTTAAATGAATTGGCTTTCAAGATTTACTACAAGGCAACAACTAAGAATAAGAAGCCGACATCACATTCCATAGATTATTAAGCAATTCTTCACATTTTTCTTGCAAGCATATATGCTACTATATTAAAGAACACCATAAAATTAAGCTAACAAAGAAAATAAATCTACAGGAGAACTTTACTAATCCATTATTTGTTCAGCTTAGGTGCTACTAATTGGATTTGCATTTGATAGTTAGTAAAAAAGGATATTTTCAGCATTTAGATGAGTACAAAGCTGCAATGTTTTTAAATCATGTTCAAAAACCGGCAGATTGCTATTACTGTGGGATATATCATACTAGATGTAATTTCAAGATGCTGAAATCAGATAATTAACTTAAAAGTGTAAACAAAATAAAATAATTTTTGCTAAGATTAAGAGAAAAATTTGCAACCTCTATATCAAATGTATAATTGTGTTTCTCCTTATTACAAAAAAGAAAAACTTTGTGTACACCTTAGTTGTGAACCTCGTTTTAGCTAACATTCTGGTGCCACTTTCATTAAGGCAAACTTGAAATTGAACACTACTATCTTGGCACAAAAAGAAACAAAAATAGTACAAATACAGGCACTCCAATTCAATTACAGGGAGACAATTGACTTGTAGTATCATTTTACTCAAATTTACAAATTGAAACAGTCACATTTACAAATGCTCATTTTCAATATAAAATTTGATAATCAGGAACTGCCGAAAATTTGTGCATTAGGTCCACAGGAGATTGCTTGACTTTCATAGAATTCATGATTCATTTTCCATTCATACGAGTAGGAGTTCTTGCCACAAGAAAAGAAGACAAAACCAGATGATATGAGACAGTAGGGGATCAACTGAACCAAATCATAGCATTCATACACACATAACACAAAGATCCGAACATTAAGGTTAAGAACATGAACCCAACTGTACTAAATCACAACAAACAACCGGCAACTACAAACAAGCAGAACTCATGGCAACCATAATCAAAATTAAGAAGAACTGAATTCCAATTTATTATTTTGCATACAACCAGTTCAAAATTTGAAATTTCAGAAACATACCTATTAGCAAAAATAACTGAAAATATCAAGCAAAGCTCTTGAGATGGGAGAAGAGATTCAACGATAATAACAGCAGCTTCACAGACCAGCCAAATAAATCCAAATCTCAACTGAAAATTGGACAGAAAATCCTAAATGCCAAAAGTTCGGAACCCAAACATAAACTATAACTCGAAGTTTAATGCAAAACTTTCTTTTAAAACCAGAAATCAGGAAAAGAAGCAAGGGTAAAAGATATTTGTTCCAATAGCCTTTTCAGTTTTTCTCTTCAAAAAAATGAAATGAACTCCAACCAAAGATGAGCTCAAAATATTTATTTTGTATATTCTTCTAGAAAAAATAAAGCAGACCAAAAGAAATGGCTTGAAGAAAATAATAACTTCAAACCCTAGAAACTCGACTCAAATTTTTTTGAAGATATTTTCAATTGTTTTTTGATTTTTCTTCTAACCTAGCACATAGAACTTACCTCATATATATAGCCTTCAAAAATCTCGAACCTCTGCCCAAAATTCAAAAAACCTTCAAATTTTTGAACAATTTTTGGGACACATAGATGGCGTGGATCGATTTACATCTATCGTCGGCTCCCATTCATCCAACAAATCGTTCCTATAGTACAGATGTCGTGCGATTTTGAGGGAATATTCGTATTCCTTCTGACAAAAACCGTTGGGAATCAAATGACGTGGAGGAGGGAACCATTTTGAGTGAACTCGGGTGAGTTATGGCGAGTTGAAGGCTGAGGAAGACGATGAATAGCCCCCCAGCGCCGTTTCTGATTTCTCTAGGGTTTGGGGAATTTGGGGGAAATGTGATAAATGGCACGGACGGGTCGGGTTGGCGGGTTAGACCGATTTGTTTGGGATTGGGGAGGTGATGGTTTGGTCTAGGGAATTAATTGTGTAGGGGGAACGGTTGGGCCGAATTTGTGTGCAAAAACTAGCCCAAGTTTCATAAATGAGCCCTTCTTTAATTTCTTTCTCTATTTCCAATTTCCTTTTTTTCCTTTTCTCTAATTTTTTTAATTTAAAATCCTAAATTATCTAAAAATCTGAAATTAAACTAATTATGAATTTTGTAAACATCGCTTAATTCTAAATTAAAGAGGAAAAACAATAAACTAAAATTGAAAGACAAAAAATGTAAAAATGAGCTATTTTTGTGATTTTTGAATAATTACTGATTTATTCTAAAAATGCAAAAACAAATCCTAGATGCAATGCATGATATTTTGGTATTTTTTTCATGATTTACATAAAATTAAACATGCACAAAAATGCAAATAATTAAGAAAATTCTATAAAATTCCTAAAATGGCAAATAATTAACAGAAAACCTATTTCCTTGGGATTCTATAGGAGTACTTCATATAGGGCAAAAATCACATGCTCACAGGGTGCCGCGAAGATTTATCAAGATCTGAGACAACATTATTGGTGGAGGAGAACTAAGAAGGACATTGTGGGATTTATAGCTCGGTGTCTCAATTGTCAGTAGGTGAAATATGAGCATCAGAGACCGGGCGGCTTGCTTCAATAGATAGATATTCTAGAGTGGAAGTGGGAGCGAATCACCATGGACTTTGTAGTTGGGCTCCCACGAACTTTGAAGAAGTTCGATGCTATTTGGGTGATTGTGGATCGGCTGACCAAGTCCGCGCACTTTATTCCTGTGCGTACTACCTATTCTTCAAAGAAGTTGGCAGAGATCTATATCCGGGAGATTGTTCGTTTGCATGGTGTCCCAGTTTCCATCATTTCAGATAGGGGCACTCAGTTAACTTCACAGTTTTGGAGGTCTGTGCAGTGAGAGTTGGGTACTCAGGTTGAGTTGAGCACAACTTTTCACCCTCAGACGGACGGGGAGTCCAAGCGCACTATTCAGATATTTGAGGACATGTTGCGTGCTTGTGTCATTGATTTCGTAGGGTCATGGTATCAGATTCTATCGCTCGCAGAGTTTGCTTATAACAACAGCTACCAGTCGAGTATTCAAATGGCTCCCTATGAGGCTTTGTATGGGAGGCGGTGTAGATCTCCAGTTGGTTTGTTTGATCCAGGTGAGGCTAGGCTATCGGGGATAGACTTCGTGCAGGATGCTTTAGAAAAGGTGAAGGTAATTCAGGAGAGGCTTCGTACAGCGCAGTCGAGACAAAAGAGTTATGCTGATAGGAAGGTTCAGGATGTGTCCTACATGGTTGGTGAGAAGGTTCTATTGAAGGTTTCAGCCATGAAGGGTGTTATGAGATTTGGGAAGAAGGGTAAATTGAGTCCTCGGTTCATTGGGACTTTTGAGGTGCTTCGGAGGATTGGGGAGGTGGCTTTTGAGCTTGCTTTGCCACCCAGCTTGTTTAGTGTGCATCAGGTATTTCATGTTTCTATGCTCCGGAAGTATATTGGGGATCCATCTCATGTTCTGGATTTTAGCATGATTCAGTTAGATGAGGATTTGACTTACGATGTGGAGCCAGTAGCTATTTTGGAGCGTCAAGTTCAAAAGTTGAGGTCAAAGGATATAGCTTCAGTGAAAGTGCAGTGGAGAGGTCGGCCCGTGGAGGAGGCTACCTGGGAGACTGAGCGGGAGATGCGGAGCAGCTATCCTCACCTATTTGAGGCTTCAGGTATGTTTCTTGACTCGTTTGAGGATGAACGTTTGTTTAAGAGGGGGATGATGTAACGACCCGACCGGTTGTTTCATGAGTTACCGCTCCATTTTCCCCATTTCTCCTTCTTATTGCCTTGTTCAGCTGTATATTGTGTTATCGGGTTGGTTGGCTCGGGTTCGGAGAGGTTTTGATAAGGTTTGAGACACTTAGTCTCTTTTGAGGAAATTTAAGTTGGAAAAGTCAATCGGATGTTGACTTATATGTTAAAGGGCTCGAATGTGAGTTCCGATGGTTCGGATAGCTTTGAGAGGTGATTTGGGACATAGGAGCGCGATCATAATGTATTTTGGAGGTACGGAGTAGATTTAGGCTTGAATTGGCGAAATTGGAATTTTGGCATTTTTCGGTTGATTGGTGATATTTTGATATAGAGGTCGGAATGTAATTCCGGAAGTTGAAGTTGGTCCGTTGTGTCATTTGGGATGTGTGTGCAATATTTCAGGTCATTCGGTGGTTTGATAGACTTTTTGATCGAAAGCGGAATTTGGAAGATTTTGGAATTCTTAGGCTTGAATCAAATGCAAATTTGGTGTTTTGATGTTGTTTTGACTGTTACGAAGGTTGGAACAAGTTTGAATGATGTTATGGGATAGGTTGGCATGTTTGGTTGAGGTCTCGAGGGCCTCGAGTGAGTTTTGGGTGGTTAAACGGACCATTTCATGTTGAAAAAGATTGCAGAAAAATTTGTTGTAGTGTTGCAGATAGTTGTGCTTCGCGTTCGCGAGTGGATCTTCGCATTCGCGAAAGGCTAGAATGTGAGGCTGAAGGTTTGGCCTTCGTGTTCGCGAGGGAGGTCCCGCGTTCGCGAAGGGTTGGGGTCGTCAAGCTACACATTCGCGAGAGGAGAGCCGCGTTCGCGATGGGCTGTGAAGCTGAGCTTTCGCGTTTGCGAGGGTGGAGACGCGTTCGAGAAAGAGGGATTTTGGTCAACTCAAATTTGTGCTTCGCGAATGCGAGGCTTTGACAGCATTCACGATGAAGGATTTTTAAGTGCTGGGCAGAATGTTTAAAAGACCCATTTCCGCGATTTTGGGTCTAAGTTCCTCCATTTTTGGGCTATTTTGAAGCTTTTTGAAGAGAATTGAAGAGGGAATCAAGGGGGTACACTTGGAGGTAAGATTTATGGACTTAAAACTCAATCCTAATGTGATTCCTACCTAAATAATCATGGATTTTGTAGAATCTAAGGCTAAGCATTGAAGAACTAGGGCTTGTAATTGGAGACCTAGAATTTGGGATTTGAGGGGTCGTTTGTGGTTGGATTTTGGTACTTTTGATATGAATGAACTCGGGGAGTGAAAAAGAGTCTATTGATGTAATTTTTATCGGATTCCGAGACATGGTCCCAGGGGTCGGGTTTGGCCAATTTCGGGATTTGTGTTGTAATTTGATTTTTTTCCAGTGGGCTTTGTTCCCTTAGCATATTTTGATGGTTTTGCACTGATTTTGGTTAGATTTGAAGCATCCGGAGGCCGATTCCAGAGGCAAAGGCATCGCGGGCTAGAGATTGGACCGGATAGAGGTGAGTAATGATTGTAAATGTTGTCCTGAGGGTATGAAACCCTAGATCACATCGTTGTGCTATATTGAGGTAATGCACACGCTAGATGAAGAGCATGGAGTCATGCACTGTTGGGAATTGTGACTTAGTCCATCTCGAGTGACTATTTTACCGCGTATTTGATTGAAAACTGTTCGCTATCATCATGTTTTGGGCTGAATGCCATATTTGGGTCTCGGGCCAACTGTTTTGGACCCTTAGGGGATTTTTACTGCTCTTCCCTCACTGCTTTGATTTTATATTTGTACTCAATCATGCTATATTCTACTGCTTTCATAACTCAACCATGCTTACTCTATTTTAACACATTAAATGATATTTTGGGCTGAGCATCATGTTTTACTGTGCCCGAGTGGCTTTTAGAGAATTTTGACCGAGTAGCACCGAGGGCCTGTGTTGTGAGGATTATTATGGGATCGGGCTGCATGCCGTAGCAGTTTTGTTCTGATTATGATTATGAGGCCAAGGGCCTGAGTTATATGCCACAAGGTAGCTTGATATGATGCCGAGAGCCTATTGATTATGCCACGAGATGGCTTGATATTGCTCTTGGGCAGTAAGGGGCCCCTCTCGAAGTCTGTAAACCCCTAGTGAGCGCAGGTACCCAGTGTGATATGTGATATAGCCCGAGGGGCTAGTGTTGTTCCATGTTATTGTCCGAGGGGCTGATTCTGTTGACTTTGTGCCCGAGGGACGGATTTTATGTGTTTATCTTTTCTAGCTGCTTTTCATTTACTTGTTTAACTGTTAAAAAGGTGTTTTAAAGAAGTTTATACTGAACTAAGGTGTTTTTATAAGATTTCACTATTTTATTGCATTTTTATTGGTTTTACACTACCTTTTTATAGCATGCTGTTGTGTTTTACGTGATTTCTTATTGCCCAGTCTTCATTTGTTGTTATTACTCACTGAGTTGGCGTACTCACTATACTCCCTGCGCACTGTGTCAGATTCAGGAGCTTCAGGTCCCGCCAATGAGGGTTGATTGCTCCCAGCAGGCCATTCGGAGTTCACTAGGTAGCTGCTCAGCGTTTGCAGCCTAGTTTTTCTCCCTCCTATCTTACTTTCTGTTTCTAGTTATGTAATAGACTATATAAACTCTCCCAAACTCTTAGACACATGTTTAGATGCTTATGACTAGTAACACCCCGATGCTTAATGACTTAAATTGTGTTATTTTAATTGATTAAAATGAATTAGGTGTTGTGTCGGCTGGCCTCGTCTTCACGAGAGGCTCCATCACGACCGAGTCTGGGTTTAGGGTCATGACAAATTTCACGCCATTAAGGCACTTCGAAAGATCACCTCGAAGGCTTGAGGACCCGACCGAGTTTCCTCCCTCGAGGTTAGTCGACGCCCGACCTTGGGACAATGTTGACCACGGCTATGGTGGAAATGGGGAGTTCCCAAGGTGCATGACTAGGATTGACAGAGCCTAGTGGACTACCCTAACCCTGAATCAGGGTGTCATCTAGCTGTCCCATCTCCGCTTCTTTGTCATTAATGTATTTTGTACTATGTTGGGATTCCCCTCCTATATAAAGGGGATCCTTGTCATTTTGTAAACCTCTGTTGCTTCAGTTGCTCCACACGAAATATACAAGAACATTCTCTCGTCTCTCTAACAT